AATCTCCCTAAAACTAGGTCTGGCAGATTTATTAAAAAACCATTAAAATTAGATTTATAATTTTAATATTTTGTTAAGAGGGGAGATGTATTATATATTGGTGAATGCGCTGGTATACATATTGTAATAGAAGGTATTGTGAGTTGCATAACATCGTCTTTTAGTTTAGTGCTGTTGCTGTTGTCTTTGGCATAGTCATGTTGAGAATATAATTATTAACAAAACCCTTTCGAGAGTTGTTTTATTGCAGCCTGATAATACAAGTAATGCTTCTCGAGATATTTTGAATCGAAATTATCAATACCTGTCATCATTGACATAAATTAAACATATCGACTAAATAGTTATTAGACCGAAATCATAAATATGAAATGTTTTTGTGCAAAATGTTTAACAGAAACTATTTTATCATCATTTATTCGATGAAAATTTTTATGGTTAATTATAAAAAAAAGTTCCCAAATTTATCATTTCAGTCAAATACTATCTACTCATCATGTTTATTTTTTGTCAATAATGACATGTATTGACTATTTTCATTCAAATATCTTGAGAACGGTTGCTCCTAGCGATTTTTACCAAGAGACATTTTTTGCCTAAAAAATCACGGAAATGTATATTCTTTCACTCAGTAGTTTTATACAGGTAGGGACGAAAAGTTATTACTCTTCAAACCAGTTAAAAAATATGTAGGTGGCGCCCTCTACTACTAGGAGTCATATTGACATCAAAATCAAATTTCTCATGTCAAAAAACTCCCAGACACCAATTTTTATCTAGATATTGACGTTATTTCGGAAATTATTTGGGAAAAATCGAAATTAAAATGAAACTACTACACCCTATATCTCCGAAACTAAGCATTAAGGACATACATTTATACTAACCTTTTTACTTATTTTTATCTGCAGAATATGCTGCCGAAATTTCCGGAGTACAGTTCGGACCACCCTGTATATACAACACATTTAAATATCGATTCCGCATGCCTTGTCCAAATAGAAATATTCTGGCGCAATCGTCATCTTTCGCGAATCAGAGTATACATGGCAACGCAAAAAATCTTATTTAACTAATTAAAATACTTTATGGCCCCATGTGGTCTCTAAGTGTACGAACACAGTGCAAGCAGGTTTGCCGCTTACTGGTAGTCAGCGCCAATCTAGGTACCTATTCTTGACATCGTTCGCAACTTTGCGTATACGCATCACGTGTATTGTTATAAACAGGGTATCCCAGAAATAAGTGCAAGTATTTTAAAGGGTGGTAGATCTCGATAAAAGAACCATATTTTATCTTTATCGTTTTTCAAATAAGTCCAAAATAACGGAGTTATTTTACTTTGAAAATTTCCAAAAAAAAAAAGATTTTTGCTAGTATTTTGAGAACCTTATTCGTGTGCCTTCTCCTCATCGGAGGTTGGCGACCATCAATTGGAATTCCTCCCTGTCTTGAGCCAAACGGATAATTGCACTGGCCTCTCCTATATTAAACCACTGGCGCAAATTCCGCAACCAGGAAAACCGTTTACGCCCGATGCCTCGTCGTCCTTCAATCTTTCCCTCAACGATCAGCTGTAGCAAACCGAAATATGCTGCTTTCCGTCGTTTTATTGTAGTCAATAGTTCTTGGTCCTTACACATTCTTTCCAATACTTCGAGATTTGTTTGAGAACCACTGGATCTTTTCTGGATTTTCTTTCTTGTAAATTTGATCTACTACCTACCTATGTTGCCATATTATCAAGAAATTATTTTTTTTAAATAAAAACTAAAAAAAATTGCTAAAAAATTCCAAAAATATTTTCAAAAAATTGCGAATTTTCAAAAAAAATTATTTAGAAAAAATCTCATAGGCGTGTTTCTGGGGTTGAATTATACTACCAGTTAAGTTAAAATACTTGAACGTATTTCTGGGACACCCTGTATACGGGTACATAGTAGCGCCGCGCCGCCTCGCGCTTATAACCTTGAAAAATTAAAGCGTGTTATCAATCGGCTAGTTCACAGTGAAAGCAGGTAGGCGCCGTCAACCAGCGTTCATCGGCGTTCTCGCTTTTACCGGAACGAACATTTATTTATTTCTGCTTTTGCACGCGCCGACGGCGCACAGAGGGTATTAAGAACTAAAAGTTGGCCAAAATTATGTTTTATGATTTTTTTGCTTTTTTGCTAGTAATATTAATTATTAGAGAGAGGGTGCTAATATGGAACCCCATTTTGTTTTTCCTACACAATATTTTTTCCTCTACTCTAAAACCCTTTCCACCGATCAAATAGGGTCATTCTGTGCAAAACCAAGCAATTGGATGAGGATGCTAGAACAAGAAAGTAATTTGTATATTATAGACGATATTTGAGCGAGGATGGGTGTTATAGGGTAAAGACTATTTCCTTTAAGAATCTATTTAAATCAATGTTTTTTTGGCAGTGGCAAATATTGGCAAGATTTTTGTACATATTCCAAAACTGGAGACTTTAAGCATTGAACGGATACTAATTTCCATGCGGAATATTGCCGAATCGTCTTACACCTTATAAAAATGCCTCTCATTATAAAGAAATAGAATAGAAGGAAACGTTTCAAAATAAAAAATATGGCATAAAACAGGACTTGCCAGCTGGCTCTGTATCCATCATGACAGTTATTATAAACAATTTGCAAAAAAACAATTGCACTATTTTATAATCTTAGAAATATTCAGAATACACTCAAGATAATTCATACTTATAATTGAAATATGTTATTTACTTGATAGTCAACTTACGACTTAAAAAAACTAATAAACGTGCTTACATTTAGTATTTATAGATTTGTATTCAGTTAAGATAAAAAATGAAAATAAAAAAATATCACTTTTGGCCAGGTTTATAGACCAAATACCCCTATGGCGGGCGCGGCGTTTGAATATGGTTAGGTTAGGTTAGGTTAGTTAATCAGGTAAATTTCCTCTTAATTAACTACTTCCGAACCCTGCTCGCATCTCCGAAAAAGCCATATAACAATACACGTGATGCATATACGCAAAGTTACGCATCACGTGTATTGTTATATGGCTTTTTCGGAGATGCGAGATGTGAGCGATATTTGAAGATGCGAGTGATCAAGAATAGGTACCCAGAGACGGCGCTGGCTGCCGGAAAGCAGAAACCTGCCTCCACTATGTTCGTACCCTAAAGAAAGTAATTATTATATTAAGATATAACACAAAAATGATAAACAGAACAAAACTTTGTATAAATAAAGTGAAATTAAGTGTTTAATAAGATTTTAAAATCAATGATGTTTCTAATTGATTAAAATATTTTTGCATCTTTCGGTAGCACGAGGCAAACTGTTTAGTTTCTACCATGTTCGCTTTGCGTGTAATTACACGGATCGACTGAAATGTTACCGCTCTACCCTAGTAAAAGTAAAATTTAAGTTAACGTCTCCTATTTGCTGCCAGGGCTAATCTGGACGAGGCCTACTTTGTTTACGCGGAATCATAACAGCGGTCCTCGGCCATATCATGGTCAATGGCCTACCGACTTGGCGAGTGTCTAAATCGACTCTTACTCACGAGATATCCGATCTCATCCGGCCTCAAACCGGCGTGAATGAGCAGTGTGTGTCAATAGAGTTTTACACTCTTGCCATGGAACAACAGCACGGCAGAGTTACCGGGCGGTCACCCGTTCATACACTAGTATCGTCTTCCGTCGCATAACTTCGGTGATCTAACGGGAACCGGTGTTTGGACATAGCTAGGCCGTTGCCCTAAGTCAGTTTAAACAATTTCCATTATATTTCAAAGTTTATGGGTTATATTACCTAATTTTACTGGTTTACATGTATTCGGAATGTGTCGTCCGTCGTTCCATCTTAGATCTTATAAACTTCGTGGATAAAGCCATATGTATATTACACACGACTTTGTTTACGGGACTTTCACATATTGTTTTTTTGACATAAACTTTCCTTTTATTGAAAATTTAAGTCAAAATATTGCGAACGGCTACTTTTATATCGGAGGCGGTGGGAACAAGCTTTTGCTTTTGCACTTGACTAAAAAGATGATACCCACCTATATCTTACACTGCATACTAAAGGGCGCCACTTATTTCAAAAAGATGCTGATACTTACAAAGGATAGTACAAACTGAAATAAGAAAATTTGTACAAGTGTATTAATTGAATGGAAACTAAAATAATTAGTATAGCTATTAAATATTTTGAGAAACAATTCAAATACCCAAAAAAATAAGATTTATTACTTATTAGAAATATTCGGTACCTATTCGGCACAGCAGTTATGTACATTAATATACAAGAATTATATTTAAGAAACTCTATCCTAAAACTTGTTTAAAATCAAATTATGTCTTTTCAGATATTATTCAAACAATTATAATATAAAAAAATACTTTTAGAGACGGTCTTGGTTTTATTCGAATATTAAATATCTAAATTTCAATTGACTTATTACGAAGATTCATGAACCTTTTTGTTTATATATAGTTAAGGGAAAAAGTTTAAAAGCTGTATCCAAGATTGCCCTTACAGGTCAAAGATCGTAATGATATAAAAGGTTAACATAAATAGATGTTAAATATGAATAATCAATCAATATAACATGATTATTTTAATAATCAAATACCTACAAGTAAAATTTAAGCAATGCTGAAGGCAAATACTTAAGTGTTAAAAAAAATAATAAAATGTAACAGAACGTTAAATTTTATAAATTAAGGGTTAATGTAATGCTGAAGGCAAGTACTTAACCAGTTAAATGTAAAATGTTAAGAATAGTTAATTTCTTAACAAACTAATGATTATTAAAAATCAAATTAATAAAATTTTAGTTTACTATAAAGAATATACTGGCCTTGTATACCAAATTATACTAAAAAAGGATCTTCTTAATGATCTAAAAATCTTCTAATCAATCTAAATTCTAAATCTTCTAAAAATAATATAATAATTCTAAAAATTCTAAATCTAAGGATCTTCTAAATTAATAAAAAAACATCACAGCATCCAATTTCTTCTCAGAGGGGTGCAGGGCTGAAATCTAACCGAACAGGCTGCTACTGATTAACTCGGTGATTGAAAATCTCGAAGAAAAACTTGTGGAAAAACTTGGCACAAACTTCTGAAAAATATGCAGAACAACTTGCAGAAAAACGTCTAGAGAAATGTCTAGAAATACTTGAAGAAAAATCCAAAGAAAAACGTTGAGAAAAATACGTAGAAAAATCTGTAGAAAAACCTAAAAAGAAATGCACGGTATTAGTTAACCTTACATTTTAAAAAACTCGAAAAATTTACGAAGGTATTAATTTACCTCATTGTGAAGGCACACAATCAATAATTATTTAACATTTCTTCTCAAATAAGGGCTGGACACTTCTCATCAAAAAACTGGAATCTAAAAGAAAGGCATGTGAAGGTTTTTTCTACCGAATGGAATGTCAAAGAAAATCTTACCAAAACTATAGATCCACTAAAATCTCAATAATCAAAAGCTATATGGGACCTTCAACCATCTATAGGATAACAAAATCACAATATTTTTCCCATATTGTGAAAAATACCAGCCAAATAAATTTAATTCTCAAAATGGCACAGTGACCTCGGTAACGGCCAAATCCGAGGTGGCGATTTTGACGTTTCCCGTCTTGTCGATACACCAGGGTACGATCCAATATTTTCGATAGAGAGCGTTCCGAAATTTATGTGTTGTAGAAATGTAAAAAGAATATCAATACAATAATAAAATACCGTCTATAATAAAACAAAGTAGCATTTGGAAAATGAAAATGCTACAATATATTTTTCTATTTATGTCTATATACACTATCGGACAAAAGTAGAGCAACACTTCAAGAAATATTTGCAAATCGCGATTTTTTAATTATACATGCATGATAATGTATACAAATACAATAAATTTAAAAACTACGAAGTAGGCTATGAGTATCGATGACAACAAGAATTTTTACTAACAAAACAAATGAATTTATTTTGACATTTAGTTTTAAATGCTTAATAGTAACGCGTCAAAAGTAGAGCAATATTCAAATAATTCATTCCAAAGAAGGGTTTTAGCAAAAGTAAAGCCCAAAATAATTCTGCGAGGTTTATTTTATGTTTTTTTAAACATTTCTATGCTGGATTAGTCATGCCAAGAGGAATTCCAATTTCAAAAGACTTGAAGCAAAGAGTTGTGAATGCATTCCTGGAAGGTAACAAACAAGCCAATATTTCAAGACAGTTTGTGTTACCCCGGTACAGTGTATCTAAAATAATTTCATTGTATAATAACAGGGGACACTTAGAAAAGTTGCCAAAATCGGGAAGGCCAAAAAAAACAGTAATGACAGACAGACGCATCAAAAGAATTGCTCAAAATGATCCTTGGAAGTCCGCACCTAGAATTATTGCCGAAATTCCAGAAATTATGGTTGGTATATGAACAGTACAAAGAAGGTTAGTAGATGCAAAGTTATTTAGTAGACGTCCAGCCAAAAAGCCGTTAGTTTCGGAAAGAAATAGAGCAGCAAGGTTGGCATTCGCACGTCGGCATTTAAACTGGACCGTCAATGACTGGAAAAAAGTTCTGTTCAGTGATGAAACGCGCTACAAAATATTCAATTCTGGTGGAATTTGACGTGTGAGGCGACCAATCAATACAAGGTTTAATCCTAAATACGTAACATCTACAATTAAACACGGTAAAGGCAGTTTATTTTTATGGGGTTGTTTCTCATGGAATGGGATAGGCCCTATACACTTTATTAATGACACGATGGACCGATTTGTTTATAGGGATATCATGCAGAATAGTATGCTTCCTTATGCAAAACAAAGTTTTTATGTAAAATAAATCCTTAAAATAGATCACCAATTTTTGATACCCCTGTATAAATTTAAGGAAACAATAACATTTTTCAGTAAAGTTTATTTCTTTACCTTTAAACTCAGCACAAGAATTAATTCTGAAAAGTAATTTACAGGGTGTTAATAATCATTCTTTTGTAGCATGCATATTTAAATATCTTTAAATATCTCAAAAACGAAAGATTTTAAACATATTTAACACTTATAATAAATGCCTTTTTTTGGGCACAAGAATCGAAAAATGAAATAAAATACCTGGTGTTCCATAAGAAAAAATATAACTTTGGTATGGATCTTAGTTCTGAGACACCCTGTATATTTCAAAATAATTTTAAATTGTGGACATTGCCTCCCCACATATACCCATAAAATATTTTGTTTCTACATCTTTCCGTTTTCGTATAATCAACCGAAGCGAATGAGGTGCGCCACCCTGTATATATACTATATAGATAATATAATACCGTATGATCGAAAAAAAACGGCGTCCAGTTGGCTGGGAAATGACAATCGATGACATTTCCCATATAAATTTACATATAAAATGACAGCGATCTTCATTTCATAGCCATCGCTGACGCCGTTTTTTCTCGATCATACGGTACTATATTTATTATCTATTATAAGTCTATCTTTCTCTGAATTCGCTACTGAGCATGCGCAGAACGATATTTGACGTGATTGCTAACTTGGAGCGTTTTTTCGCTGCGGTGACAACAATTACTAAAAATATGGACCATTCAAATTGTTTAATCAAGATATAACTGATACGTGTATTTATTTTGAAAATATTTGTCATATTATTTCAATTTACTTTTTATATAAATTTTAAACAAAAATTCAATTATATAACAATAAATTGTTTTTTCAAAATGTTTTAAAATACTACTTGGAAAAATAGTTATAATGAATGGGCAACATAGAATCAGTAACAAGGGAAACATTAAAATATGTTTTCACATTGAAAATTCAAAACATATTTTAATAAAAAAAATAATTAATGTCACTTTTTGTGCTTTTTGTATACTGTTTGAGCCGTAATAAAAAAAAGTTTATTTGGATTTCCGACGATATTTTAGATTTGTGTTCTTTTTGAAACTTTGTTTTTGTAGTGTAATAAAGTTAGTGGATACATTAGTGGATAAATAGACATTATGACTATGAAGCTGTCCGCAATAGGAAAAATCTTATCCTTAAAAGAACTCCACAACACTAAAAGTATGAAAATCTCTGAAGTATGTTCCATATTTTCAAAAAACAAGATATACCGGGTGCATCTCAAAAGTGGCTCATCTCTATAACTTTTTTATTTTTTCGGATAAAAAAAACGAGATTTGGTATGTTACATATACAAGTATATGACATAAATTAAAATTGATTGACGTATTTAACTGTTTTTGGTCACTTCCTGTTTCACCGGAAATGACTACAACTTTTGATTTTTAAATAGCACCCTCGGTATTTTGATACTTTATTCGATGGAAAGTGACATTCTGAATAGAATGACATATCATATGTCAACTTTTGACATTCTCTCTTAATAAAAAGTCGTTTTTTAAAATTCAATCAAGACTTCCATGTCTATGTTAAGAACTCTAATCCTTAATCAAGGTGTAATATATTTGAATATTACTTATTGTAGAATAAATGATGAAATCAAATTGTTAGTTTCTAAGTGTAAAATACCTTATTTATATATTAAGGAATGTGGTTTATGAGTTTATAAATATATGTAAAACTAGAGAATAAAGACTTCACTTCTCAGTTGGCTTTTGTTATATTATTAAATATATCTAAATTAATAAATATATAAATTATAAAATCTAAGTACTTTACACTGGCGCAGTCGGTAAACGAAACCAATAAATAAATTATAAAGTGAAATTAAGTTTGAAGAAAATGTCAATTGGAAAATTAGAAGCATTCAGAGTGGGTGAAAGTAATTGTAGTTCTTATGTGACCAGAATCTGCCAATATTTTAAAGTAAATAAAGTGGAAGAAAATCTAAAAACTGCAATTTTAATAACTATAGTGAGTGATGAAGCATTTGAGTTGATGGTTGATTTGTGTAGTCCGGTATTACCAGAAGAGATAGCTTTCGGCGATTTAATTAAATTAATGAAAAATCATCTACAACCCAGACCAACCCAGACCATCTGAAATAGCAGAAAGGTATAAATTCAGATAGAGAAAACAAGAAAGTGGTGAGACAATTGCTACATACATTGCGGCATTGAAGAAATTATCCAAGTATTGCAATTTTGAATCAAATCTGGAAACTCAGCTACGGGATCAGTTAGTTTTCGGCTTGCAAAACGAAGTTATAAGACAACAACTTTTTCAACAGAAGAATCTGACATATAAAAAGGCATGCGACATAGCTTTCAATTTAGAAGCAGCGGCAAGAAATTCCAATTTAATTGTACCTGGAAATGTTCTGAAAATATCACATAGAGGAAAATCCACGACTAAATTCAATAAAAATAGGCGCAGAAGAATCTCAAGATAACGTTTGTTCCAAGGCAGGAAGAAGCAAGTGCTGTCACTGTGGGAAAAGCAATCATTGCCAATCAGCTTGTTTCTTCAAGAATGCAATATGTCATCAGTGTAAACAAAAGGGTCACATCAGCACAGTATGCAATAAGAAGAATGAAAAGGTACCAAATAAACAATCAAATAAACAAGTTTTTAATCATTTTTTGACTGGTGAAGACGAACATAATTTTTCGGATTCAGATTCTGATATTTTAGGAATGTATAATGTTAGAGAAAAAAATGAAAAACCTATATAAATTGACATAAAAATAAATAATAAAAATATTTTAATGGAATGCGATACGGGTTTCCCATACGATACCCATTTCAGCTGTTTCTGAAAAATTATATTTTAAAGAATTTAATAAAATTTCTCTAAATAGTTCAGATTTAGATTTTAAATCTTACGCAGGAAATATTTTAGAAATCTTAGGTTTTATTTGGGTTAATGTTAATTACAAATTGTTAAATAAAAAGTTGAAAATTTTTGTAATTAAAAATGGAGGTCCACCTTTATTAGGTAGAAATGGGATCAAAAAATTAAATATATCGGTCGATAAATTACTAAATATTAATCATATTGATAAAATTGATTCTACACAGGTTTCTAAAATTTTGCAAAATAAATATCATGAAGTTTTTGAAAATAAATTATGAAAATTTAATGTGAGTAAAGCCACATTGTATTTAAAAGAAAACTCTATAGCTGTTTTTTGTAAAGCTCGAAGTTTATCTTTAGCTTTAAAGCAAAAAGTTGAAAAGGAATTAATAAATCTAGTTGAAAGCGGTATTCTGACACCTGTCGATTTTAGTGATTGGGCAACACCTATTGTTCCAGTGCTTAAAAAAACAGGTGAAGTTCTAATTTGTGGTGATTATAAAATAACACTAAATCCAAATATTCATGTAGACAAATATCCTATACCAAAAATTGAACAATTGTTTACAATTTTAAATGGTGGTAAATATTTTACTAAAATAGATTTATCTAGGGCTTATGCACAAATTGAGTTAGATGAATCATCTATAAAAAATTAACTACATTAAACACCCATAAAGGTTTATTTCAAATGAATCGGTTGCCTTATTTCTACAGTCCCGGAATTCTTCAAAGAATTATTGAAACTTTATTTTCAGGGTTAGATCATGTTATTACTTTTTTAGATGATATTTTAATTTGAGGTAAATCAGAACAAGAGCACTTAGAAAATTTGTTTAAAGTTTTTGATAAATTGAAAACAGCTGGATTAACAATTCAACTTAATAAATGTATTTTTTTTCAAAAGGAAGTAAATTTTTTAGTGTATACAATTAGTGACAACGGT